CAATTTCACCCCCCAAAACCTAAAGTAAAAATCCTATATACAAACCAACGTGAAAGATGAAAAAAACTGGCTGGTTCCTTGCATGACTTCACTAATTATCTGACCTTTCCTACTACGCTCCGTGTTTACAAGGGATAGATCAAACCAAAAATGGAATATTACTATCATATCTGGGTTGAACATATTCATTTCCCAAATTTTTAGTTTTTGCAGCCTTTCTGGTGATAACTTCCACTCTACAAACCCTATTCAAGACAAAACCTACTCAGCCTACCGTTATTCCATCTTTCTATCCAATGGCAAATGTTTAGATAACGTAAGTTCCTCAGTTTCCCCAGTTCTGACGTTCACCACCAAGAATCGCGATGCCAGGTCCACGAGGACGAATTATGCCAATTTTCCTCCTATGTGCATGAATCTCTTTCTGTAACATTTTACCTTGAGTAGCTCATGGAGATTGGTGAAAAAATCTTTACAAAAACCCACTGTTATTTTCATGACAACAGCACATGGCTGGGAAACATTGTCTCATTCACTCTAAAATTCTGATCTGGCGCCCACAGCTCTTCATCTATCTCTGCCAAAGGCAATACAACGTTGAAACACCGGTTCATGTACGATCACTGTAACGTCGAGTCTGGTCAGTAACTATAAGGTCATCCCATAAGTTCTGTCCGAATTTTAACTTTTTGTTAAAATGAACGAAATTTAAAGAGTATTTTATAATGTCTAATGGAGATGAACATTATTTTTATGTTTAGATGCATTTAAACTGATCAAATTTTATTTAAGAGAAAAATGAAATTAAATTTTGTTTGATTAAAACCCTGTTAACATGAAAGTGCCCCAAGAATCATTTGAGGCACATAATGCTTTATGAGTTCAAGAAAGGAAACTCAGCAGCCGAAGCGGCTAGAAACATTTACTCAGTTTATGGAGAGGAATGTGTGAATGAAAGAACTTGCAGAAGATGGTTTGCAAAATTCAGAGGTGGAGATTTCACCCTTGAAGATGAAGATCGACCGGGCGTCCAGTTGAGTTTGATGAGAAGCTTCTTGAAGCAGCCCTTGAAGAAAATCCTGCTTTATCAGTTGAGGAATTGGCAGTGGTTCTCAGTTCAAACCATACAACTGTTCATCGTCATCTTCAACAACTTGGAAAAGTTCCTAAATTTGGAAAATGGGTGTCTCATGAATTGTCTGAAAACAACCTCAAATCGCGAGTTGACATCTGTTCTCTCCATTCTCGCCAACTTGTTTCATTTTTTGGATAGACTTGTGACTGGCGACGAAAAATGGATCTTTTATCGAAATGTTAAGCGTCGTAGGCAGTGGCTTGTTAAAGGGGAAGGACCCCAGCAACAGCCGAGAAGGGAATTTCATGGGCAAAATGTTCTTCTTTCAATCTGGTGAGATCGCCATGGAATAATCCACTTTGAATTCTTACCACCTAATGCAACAATTAATGCTCAAATATACTGTCAGCAATTAGAGCGTTTGAACCAAGCTTTGAGGGGAAAATACCTGCTCTAGTGAATCGAAAAGAGGTGATGTTTCATCAGGACAATGCGCGACCTCACACAGCAAGAATCACGTCAACAAAGATCGAAGAACTTGGTTGTGAGAAAATTCCTCATCCACCTTATTCTCCCGATCTTGCTCCTTCAGACCACCATTTGTTTCTAGGTTACAGAATCATTTGGAAGAAACAGGTTTTGTAACACAGGAAGAGGTTAAAACTGGCATTTGTGAGTTCTTCGAATCAAAGCCAAAAGAATTTTACAGTAATGGAATTAGTAAGCTTGTTAATAGATGGAAGGAAGTCATAGATAATCAGGGAAAATACATTGCTGATTGAATTTGTAATTAAATGTAACATTTGGTCACTTGTTTTCTTTATTCAGAATTCTGACAGAACTTATGGGATGACCTGATATATAAGTAACTGATTAAGAATACCAGGTACTGCAAGCTTGGATGTGCGTGTGATTGCTCGGGATTTTTAATTAGAGAGCTGTGTTCCAATTCCATTTGGGTTCGTTATATTCTCTTAGACGTAAATACCTAAGGTATGAATCCAACACTTCTCCCGGCCCAGCTTTGAGTAAATAATTGTACAGTAAATCATTATTATCTTAAAAGAAAAACAGACTTACAATCTAAAAATATCTATATTTTCTGGCTTTAAATAACCCGCAGAAGGGTTGATAATCCCTAGAAAACGAATCAGTCAGTCTTTCAGTATCTCCGCCAAAGTAATCAGAGGAAATGGGTCTCCAATGTTGATAATTTCATAGAGATAACTAGTACATAGCGAGGAAAGAAGACACAAGATTAGATGCCCTCATTTAAAACTGGAATTAAGACGGAAGGAAACTTGAGAAATTGACTTGGAATTTTTGTGTTCGCATTGGTATGCGCTATGTGCCTATTAAGTCTGTCGTAATTAAAGAATAACAAGCCTCGCATGTTAAGAGAATCTCGTATAACATTTCAGTGATTCCAGTGCATCCCAGAGTTACCGAAAGTTTATATGGAAAGAAGCTTGACAATGTTTTACTTATATTTTAATGTTAGACACTTTCAAATAAACGCATTATGAATATTTATAAAAAAAATACTGTATATTAACAGTTAAAAACAACTAATATATTACACAGAAATAAAACTGTAGGTCCTAAAAGAAAAGGTACTAAAGCAAAGCTAGTTGAAAGGACTAATCATCAATATATATATATATATATATATATATATATATATATATATATATATATATATATATATATAAACGATGTATGGATTTGCAGCAAGTGCTATGACGTGGAGATGCCAAAAGTAAACAAAGATTGAATTTTTTTAGTATTTACTCAACCCCAACGAGGTCAGGTTTTGACACAAGGTCGGTTTAATGAGGGGAGACCGAGCGCTTACACCCGGGCTAGAAACAAACATTCTCCGAGGCCCCGCAACTGTCTGTTGCGTTGGCCTTGGTGTGAGCACTGATTTTTTTCGTTGGTGCAATGAGAGGGCGAGACCTCTGTTAGCTTTTCCCCAGGGCTGAGCTTTTCTCAATTTTCCTCAGGTGCAACACCGTCCTTTGACCGAGTCGCTCCTGAATGCACTCTACCCAAAGACAGGGACGCAACTGAGAGATGGTAAATAAGGTGTTACAAACTACTCAAGAGAGCAATTTACACACTTAAGAAAGAAAGAAATTTTTGAAAATCTGACACTCATGCGACATATTGTAGACAAATCGGATCAGTGGAAATAGTACACGGCCTACATAGCTTCTGCAAATGATTAATATAATTGCAGAGATGTGTTTTAATAGAGAATAGAATATGTCATACCTAAATCTTAAGGCGTATGACAAGAGCGGCAAATACATTCAGAAAACAAAACAAAGATTTATAAACAATAAATTTACATTAATGATAAGAGTGCTGAACAGTCGTTGAATATCGATGTTTCTATATTGCTGTTTATAGTGGATAATCTCTTCACATATAAGGATAAGACTTGAGGCAGCAGATTTTCTTTTTATCAGAAGGTTGCTGAGAGTAACACGGACGCAGCTAGTAAACAACGAAAAATTTGAGATGAAAATGGAAACATAAAGGTCAATTATACGTAAAATCTGAAAGAGTCACTTGAAATTGCTGGGACATATAATGAGGAAAGAACGCTTGGAAAATTTGACACTTACAGGACATATCGTAGGCAACAGATCCCTAGATTTACCTTAACCCCTCACCACTGAGTCAGGTTGTGAGAAACCGAGTGTTTTCACTCGGGCTGCTGGTCTAAACTGGCCTTAGCATGCTAAAGCTTGTCTAAGCTGGTCTTAGCTGGTCAAAGCTTGTCTAAGCTGGTCGGAGCTTGTCTAAGCTAGGCATAGCTGGTCGTACAACCACTACGTATCAGATGTCACGCAAAACTGGGGATAACGCAAGGAAGGAGAGAAGGCCTTCGGCACGGAACAGATACTACAACCGCAGCATCTACGCCGACGGGGGGCTCTGCCAATCCCCCCCTCCCAGAAGAATCCGCAAGAAGAGCCCCTGTAGGCAACTGAGCCTGGTGTAAATAAAGCATAACCTTTCTAGCTTGTTTAAATTATTGGTGTAAATGGAGGGGCAGTAAAAAGACAAATACTACTCGGAGCTTCAAATGTTAGGAAGATACGGAAGGTTACGATCGTCATCATTATGAAGAACATCACACACAAAAGAAAAGAATTTATTTAAAGCCTGCATCTTATAAACTTTAGAGAACTTGAACTCATCCTGCTATAGAGAAAAAAAATAATACAGACTTCAATTTACAAATTCAAATATTTCTTTCTAAGAGAAAAAAACTAAAATAGTTTTCTGAAATATCCGAAATCTTTCGTTCCTAATTTTCCCCAGTTTCGCCTTGTGATGGACTAAATAAATCCTATCGAATATAATGAAGTGTAGGTTGATTAATCAACAAACGTTAAATATAATTTAGCTGGTAGTTGCTAATGTATTAATTAAAAGCATTTTTTAAATGTATAACGATAATTTTTATCATTTTCTTTAAGAAATGAATGTCTGTAATGTATTTCGTCTAGTTAGTTTAATAAAAAAAAGGAAACAATGGTTTTGGATATAGGAAGCGAAACATTTCTAATACTGGAAAGTGAACTTGTCAATTCAAGTCCAGATTCTGATAATGTCTTTTATCTTCATTCAATCTATTTCCTTCCATCAGCCAAGAATCCATTTTTTTTTCTTATTCCACAAATGCTATGGGTTCAGTAGAAGAGCAGACTGTGCTCGCCAGCCTTGGTTATTACTTAGTCATTGGAATTTTTCTTCCTTTTTTATTACTTAAATTATTTTTGGTATTTTAAACGTTCTTTCTTAAACGTTATTTTTATTATTTTTAAACGTTATTTTTTATTTACTTTTTTTCTATCATTCTTCTGTCTATCTTTCTTTCTCGACTTTCTTTTTTTCTTTGTTTTTAAAGTTGTCCATTCTTTACATGAACTTCTTTCTTTATTTTTCAGTATACTTCGAATTTTTTTCTTTTTCTCTAATCTCTTTTTACAAAAACTGTCTTTCTTTCTTTCTTTCTTTCTTTCTTTCTTTCATTTATTCGTTCGTTTTATCTGGTTTCCTTACAAAAATTTATTTATTTCATTTTTCTTCCTATACAAAACCTTCTTTCTTTATTTATTCATCTCTCTTTTTTGTCTTGAGCGGTTCTCCATTCTTTACATGAATTTATACAGTGTAACCCGGATATAAGAAAAACCCGGATATAAGAGAGATTTTATTTGGTCCAAATTAGAGCCTGTGTTAATGTATATAAAATAGACCAAACCCGGATATAAGAGAAACCCGGATATAAGAGAGATTTTCTCTGGTCCCAAATTAGAGCCTGTGTTAATGTATATAAAATAGACCAAACCCGGATATAAGAGAAACCCGGATATAAGAGAGATTTTCTCTGGTCCCAAATTAGAGCCTGTGTTAATGTATATAAAATAGACCAAACCCGGATATAAGAGAAACCCGGATATAAGAGAGATATTCTCTGGTCCCAAATTAGAGCCTGTGTTAATGTATAAAAAATAGACCAAACCCGATATAAGAGAAACCCGGATATAAGAGATTTTTCTGGTCCCAAATTAGAGCCCATAGTTGCCTAAACAAAAATAGACCAAACCCGGATATAAGAGAAACCCGGATATAAGAGAAACCCGGATATAAGAGAAACCCGGATATAAGAGACTTCTTCTCCGGTCCCGACAACTCTCTTATATCCGGGTTACACTGTATCTTTATTTTTCCGTATACTTCGCAGTTTCTCTCTTATTTCTTTCTTTTTGTTTTCTCTTCTTCCCTTACTAAAACTTTCTTTCTTTCTTTCTTTCTTTCTTTCTTTCTTTCTTTCTTTCTTTCTTTCTTTTCCTACACTTCCCTTACAATAATATCTTTTCTTTCTTGATAAAAACTCCTTTCTTCCTATTTTTCTTTCTTTCTGCCTTTCTACATTTCTCTCTTTTACTTTCTTTCTTTTTTCCCTTTCGTTTTCTCTATATTTCTTTCAAAACCTTCTTTCTTTCTTTCTCGTCTGAAATTTCTACAATTTTTCTTACATTCCTTACTCTCCTAAATACTGAATAACCTCACCTCGTTCTTGCATTTCCCACGTAACGAACCACACCCTTTCTTATTGACTAACGACCAGTCATGTTTTTATCCTTTCTTTTTCCTTTCCATTTCTTCTCGGTTCTGTAAAAAATACCTGAGACTATCACCTCTTCATATCTGCCCTTTTTTTTTCTCTACGTGTTCCACTGTGCTTGACTTTCACACACTCTCGCCCGCTTGCTCTTCTATTTCCACGCCGGCTCAAATTCACTGCCAGTCGGCACGAGCCGACAACATCTGTGCGCTCGATGTTTACGCCAATTATTAAAGACCGAAGCCCCAGCATATCGGGCAACCTACTTTCTGACACGGAAAGAAAACTCCTGCTTCCCCAAAATTTCCCCCAACCTTATCTCCGCTTATCAACAAGCGAAATCCTTCTGCTCAGCGAATCCGACAACAATCTAAACATAACGGGCGGCGTCTGAGTTCCAAGAGATCCACAAATATACAAACTGCCAACGACCTGCTCAGATATTTGGAAAGAGATGACGATGCCTGTTCAATTCGCGAAATTATACCTATATTATTCTTTTTCAGAAAATGCGAAAGTAGAAAGGGCCCGCTACTTTTACCTAGCTCAATATCTATGAAATCGCAAAGCGAATGTATTTATTAGAGTACCAAATAAATTCCTTCTTTTTCCTTACAAAATTAGGGGACTACACATCTAAATACTAATTTGCAACGTAGAAAAGAAACAAAGATAAGATCATTAAACTGTTATTCAATGTCAATCATTGTATACCATTGCGAATTTTGGGCGATTTACTCAAAGATGAAGAAGAGACGTGAGACAACAGTGATGTAGTTCTGCAGATAAATGCCGAGAATGCCAAGAAATGAAAATATGAACAATGAGAAAGTTTTAAGGACAATAGCACCACAAAAAAATTGAAAAAAAATCATATTGTCTGGACTGTTGTCATCATCTTTATTGTTATATTCACAACGTTTCGGTATTTGTACGCTCGGGCCTTCTTCAGGTGATATTAGTTGGAATTTTAAGTTGGATCCTTTATTTAGTCCACTGCACGTAGATTGTTCTAATTCTGTGTGCCATATATTTGGATACATAAGTTTAAATTAATTCCACTTGGTATCTGATTCTTATTTAAGCGTAAAGCTATCAACGTTTAACTAGTCTTCAAAATATGGTTAATAAGCTTCTAGATATAGTTAATTCAAATAAAAACAGTCTTTGCAGTTCGCAAAATGACATTTGCAAAGAATGAAATTTCCCTAGTATTTTGAATGGAAGTATTCGATAGTTTGTATCCAGTCCGAGTTGATAAAACATGGCACTTTCGAAAATGCAAATATTAAAGAGAGAGCAAGAACGGAAAAGTCCATGTCGGAAGACATTTTCTTTTTCCACTATCGAGAAATTGGTGATATAAACATCACAGCTTCTCAGGTTTATGAAAAGTCAATATCGGACAATATTCGACGACATTTTTTTGTCAGGACAAGTTGAGGTCAGCAAGAGCGTAAACACAGGCAACATTAATAGAAGACGCGTTCCTTGAAAGATTAGGAGACGTTGCTGATAATTTTGCTTGAAAATTATTATGCCAATAGATTGAATATGCCGAAAAAACCAAACCTCCAGTCACAACGATGATGTAAGCTGATTACAGGATGTAATCAATGAAATAACGAAAAGTTATTTCACAAGAATGATGTACACACGATTGATCTCGTTACAGAAAAAAATTCAACGTCAGACGATGCAACTCCAGTCGGTTGATGGAGAAATGATTTCAATCAGCAAGTTTTATAAAATGGCAATCCACACAAATAGTGACTACAGATCAAGAACGCAAAACGTGCCTTTTCATCGTCATAGAGAAAATCATTACCTGTAAAACGCTATCTTAAAAATGTCTTTTTCATCATTATAGAAAAAGACTTATCTGTAACAACGCTAATTTCAAAATATTTTCCATCAGCACTTACCTGTGACAACACCATTTTCAAAGGGTTTTTTTTCATTACAGAGGAAAAATTTACCCGTGAAACGTTATCTGAAATGTCTTTTCATCATCCTACAGAAAAGACTTACCTGTGAACAACGCTATCTTAAAGAAGTATTTTCCTCATTATAAAGAAAATCATTACCTATAACAAGGCTATCTTAAAACAATATTTTTATTACCATAGAGAAAATCATTACCTATAACAATGCTATCATAAAACAATATTTTTATTACCATGGAGAAAATCATTACCTGTAACAATGCTATCTTTAAAAAATATTTTTATTACCATAGAGAAAATCATTACCTGTAATAATGCTATCTTAAAAATATATTTTTATTACCATAGAGAAAATCATTACCTGTAATAATGCTATCTTTAAAAAATATTTTTATTACCATGGAGAAAATCATTACCTGTAATAATGCTATCTTAAAAATATATTTTTATTACCATGGAGAAAATCATTACCTGTAATAATGCTATCTTAAAAAATATTTTTATTACCATAGAGAAAATCATTACCTATAACGATACTGTCTTAAAAAGTATTTTCTACATAATAGAAAAAAAAAATCTTACCTGTAACAAAGCTATTTTCAAAAGAATTTTACACCAGCACAGAGAAAACCGTTACCTGTGGCAAAAGTATTTTCAAAAGATTTTTCATCATAACAAAGGAAAGTCTTACCTGTAAAAACCCTATCTAAAATGTCACCATCATTGTTATAGCATACCTATGGACAATAAGGGGTATATCCCCATCACATAAATACAGTAGTGAATACTGTATGTTGGTCTGCTGTAGGATATTCGTCTCCAGCTTTGCTTCTCAAAGTCTCTGCCACTAGGCAAAGAGGATCCCCAGACGAGGCCATGTCGAAGGGCAGAATCTCATCTCGGAAAACAGCTACCCGACCCTGTTTTATAGGGTGTCAATGAGGAATATTTGACCGAGCCTACGGGCTCGGATACCCCACATTAAATTCGGCCTTGTGCCATATCTGACCACGTGGGGTTGCTAGATAACCTGTAGTTGGAGATTCATTATCACTTGACTCACTTCTAGCAGTTGACTGCTTATACGCGCCGCTGGCGAATCTTCTTTTTCTTGTCCTAAGTACTTTCGTTTATTGCCAGACTTCGTACGTTTATTCTATTAGGTAAACTTTCCTAGGTTACAGCAATCATCAGAGAGAAAAGGCTTAACTGTAACAATGTTATCTTAAAAATTATTTTCAGCCTCATAGACAAAAGACTTATTCTGGTAATTGTGGGATTTATCCTTGTTAACTATGACAAATCTCGTTTACTTATAAAATAATGCTGGATATTGAAACATTATTTTATGAGCTGCAGACGGCTTGTTGATGAATTAACAATACCTTGGGATTAGTTCCATTAAAAGATGCCAGTGGTTTATGGAGTGAAGCTTTCATAGAATGAAGTTTGTTGACTGAGGCCATTGTGTATTATTTAAGATGGCGTTGTTATAGGTAAGTTTTTCTATAATGATGATGAAAAGTCTCTTAAGACAGCGTTCTTACATTATGCCTTTTTTTCCGTGGTGATGAAAAGAGCTTTCGGAAAATCGTTGTTGCTCATATATTCGGTCCATGGTAACTTCAACATTCACCACATTTGAATTTTTTGTTTCGATGCTGCTGCATCTCGACTGGTGAGAACTAAAAATGGTTATCCGAACCGAAACAAGAATGCATCTCTGTAGTGAGAAAGTTGTTTTTGTCCGTATGTAAAAATTATATATATATATATATATATATATATATATATATATATAGAGAGAGAGATAGATAGATAGATATAGATAGATAGATATAGATATAGATATATACAAAGGTTGCGATGAATAAATTGTCGTCAAGATTAAGCAAAAATGAAAATAACACTGAAATCTCATTTTAACAGATATATTTCTAAAATTATTCAAAAATAAATAAAATTGCTATAGGCTTCAACCTCGGACTTTGAAATTATCTGCATGCCTTCTGGATGGTCTGCTTGTTTAAGCTAGTGAATGCTACCATAATCCTTGCCTTCAGTTCATCTTTGATGTCATAACGAGTTTTGTTGGTATCTCGCTCAACTGCATCCCCCACAATAATCAACGGAAAATTCGTCGTTGCTCACATATTCCATCCATGGTAATTTCAACATCCTCCTGTAGAAACACATTTCTGTTGCTTTATGTCTCTTCTCACCTGGCTTCCGAAGAAGTGGGCTAACCTCTGGCTAACGAGAAAAGCGTAGCGCCGTCTCAAACTGAATATATATTCGAAGAAATGAAATATTTTAAATGGACAAATAATTTAGATATCTCATTTGAACCCACCATCGGCAAAGTGGCGGATACCCAACTAGTATGTAATTATTTGAAGGGTGTTGCTTAACGGGTATTTTTTTTTCAGGCTCGTCGATTCTGGTTAATGTTTATCTGCCACACCGGAGAGAACGTTTCAGCGTAAAAAAATGTTTTAATTAGAAACCAAGCAAAAAAATACATTTCTAGCTATGGAAGGAGCTTGGGTGAATAATTGAAAATTGGCTAGATCTCATTTGGTATTTGAAAATACGCCAAATTTAGTACTAAGAAGACACGTATTTATACACCTGTTTTTTTTGTTTTTTTAATTTTTTTTTTTGAGCCATATTGGCACACAATCTTATCACGTTCCTGTTTCATAAATTTACGCAAGTTTGCATCAGATATGATTAAAAGAACAAGTTGAATAAAAATATGAGGGCTTTGAGATGTCTGATTTATTCAGGTCACATTTATTGACAAAAATATGC